AATTATTAAAATGAAGGTAGTTTAATTATTAAAATGATTTGATTTCGCGCTAAGATATAAATATTCCGATTGCATTCTTTAAATTACATTTTTTTATTGCGTATTATTACGTATGAAATATACATGAAGAAAATTATATTAAAAGATTGTAAGAAATATGTATATATTTTTCTTTCATTCGCTATATCGATTCAAATTTAATATACAAATCCTACAACAAATTATGTTATTTTATATATATACTGTAATGAGGAAATTAGATATTTGTTTGGATTATTACGAGAAATGGCGAAACTTCTCATCGCGTAATTCCTATTTAATACGATATAGTCCATCGATTTTTCTTTTTAATGATAAAACGTTCATTATTTGCGATCGAATGTGTCGCATTAATTAGTGCGATTTTAATTGACAGATATATGAAACGTATTTTAAGAGATTAAGCCAATTAAGGTTCGGAAATCCCGCAATATTATTGTTTCATAATTATGATATACGCAACATAGTTTGACATGTTGTAATTTGCAATGTTAGATTATGTTAATCTGTAAAAATGTGTGTGTATGTGTGTATATGTGGGTACAGAGCGATACTGCGGCATAATCCTTTCAACAAAGTTTAAAAATACTACGGTTTATATCTGTCCCGATATTTTACTATTCATGAATGTGAATTTAAATGAGGAGGCCTCTGTCTGCTTCTTTTTATAACCAAAGCTGCGCTATTCGCATTTTTACACGGCAGATTTAGTAATACAGTACAGTTTTCGCAATTCCAGTCGGAATCCAAACTGTAAGATAGAGGCAACCAGCGATATATTCCATCTGCGATCTTTCTCTTATCAAGGACATTCTTGTATATATTTATCTGGTTTTACTTAGTCCTGGTGAAACGTGTTTCACCTACGAAGGCCTATCGACCCTCTTTGTGTGATTTATCTTTTCGTAAAATATCGCTGGTGTTTCTTTCACTTGAAAATTAATGTGTTGCGTCAGAACGGATGAATCGCTAAGAAAAACTTTCAAAAGCGTTCGTCCTGAAAGTCTAATTTTTATTTCGACAAACACAGACATGCCAATGTTAAAAAAATATTTACTTACTTCTGCATACAAATTAACGTAAAATAAAATTTATAACTCAGCATTTCAATTTAATATCGTTTTTAACCGACCAATTATATTAATTATATTAATCATCTTTTATACAAGAGAGATTTTAAAAATAATTATTTATATAAAAATAATTATTTATATTATATTTAATCAATTTTTATTTTAAATTTTATGCGACAGAAAATGAATAAAATGATTAATAATTGTGTGACTTTGCTTGTCTTTCCCGAAATAAATGAAGTTTCCCTTAAAATTAGCCCCATCGTCATTAAAATTTCAACATAAAAGCGCACTGACTTAATTACATTGGAAAGGTGTGGTAAGATGTGTCAAGTACGCGAGAACATTTTACACGTGTCACGACACGTTCTCGTAAAGTTATTTTATTATGAAATGAAAATCTTGTTAAAACACATTAAAAATTGCATCTACCGTCATGACTCATGAATCTCATTCTCCATAATCTCCCTACCGAGCTACAAATTAGCAAGTTCAAACATGCACCCTGTAATGCGCAAAATTTAGATGTATGTACAAAGTAAATGACATTGGAGAAATTGCGTGTATATCACCAGGTGGCCTAATTGTATGCCGCGGGAGTGGCACGACCTACTCGGCTATACTTTTCTTTATCAGCGATGCGACCGCGCAGAAACACGACTAAAATAATGTATCGAGCAAGCGAAACTTTGCAAATGGCTCAAAATGCCTTTAATTTTTCGTTTTATTTGATTTCTCGTTTCAAACAAAAAATAAAAAGTTGGTTAAGAAAATAATCGGTTTTAATTAATTCATAAATAAAAACATCGATTTTTTAATTAATAATAGAACTGAATAAACAAGATGTGTTCAGAATTTCATCAACTTTCTTCCAGACATTTTGATCGATCGAATATTATAAATATAACGATAGATTACATTCGCATTACGACGATCTAGACATTAAGATAAATATCGCAAGCCCGTATCATTAAAGTCCCATTCACGCGAAGACGGAGCTCGTTCCCACCCCGGCGAATATTTCAAGGCGAATACATCCACCGAGATAAATTCCACACCGAACGACGTGGCCTAATTATATTTCAAGGGAGTGGCGTTTCAACCACTCGAAGGTGTCGTCCCTATATCCTCGCCGGCTTGCGCGGTACTCCGGAAGTTCGCGTCGTACTCGATGAGAGGATCTGCACTCGGCGCAGGATCGAGCCTGCGTGTAATGCCGGCTATGGTCTCCATGGTTACGTGTCAAGTTCTCTCACCCCGTGCCACCCCGTCGTGGACCATCTCCCGGCCTGCCGGGAGAGAAGCAGGCTTTCAACCTTTCTATACCCGCAGCGCCGGGGCGGCTCCCGTGCAGCGCAGACGTTTGGTTGACCCAGGTCGCGCTATAGCCGGAACTCTCGTCCTGATCGTTTTAAACGTATCATTCCTCGCTTCTCGCTTGTCGTCGACTCTCCAAAGAGAACGTGAGGGTAGCCGCGGACGGCAGCCGCGAGCTTGCGTAAAGTGGCTCGGTGAGAGAAACGCTCGATGAATCAAGCGTGTGACCACGAGAGGGGTGCGTACCTTGAAACGCGATTGACCTTGAACGCACACCTGCAAGCCGGAGCCGCGGCAGGTGAATTGATTGGCGCTCGAGAGGGTGGGATCGCGGGAGCGGATCATGTGGCGTAGTTGCGTATGACGTTTTGAAGGTTACATCGCGGCAAGTGCGATCAATGATTTTTTATTTGTTCGAGCTGACAAGGGCTTAATGTGGAATACCGAGGGATACGAGTCATTAAAAGATATTGCGATCCGTAATATGCAAACTGACGGAATAAATGACAGTGAAAACAGATAGTGCTGAGACGATCGGGGTAAAAAAAATTCGTGTTCTAAAGAATCTCTATTATAAATCGAAAATGATATAAATGATATGTTAAAATATTTATAAATAATATTTAATACATATACATGTATCTGTTATATCCTGTATGTGTAAGAAATTTATAATAGAAAATCTTGAAGTTTAATCTTGTTATATGTAAACGCAATTCATAGTGAAAATCCCATGATGTCAATATATACCATATACATATAAGTACAAAATACAGGAAGAAAAATGCTCAAATAATAGTAAAAGTTCGATAACGATAAAACTTCCTCCATTTGATCCTGGTGCAATAAAGGTTGAGTGTTTTGGCTCGTGTAATCGAGAAAAACGGAATTACGTTACACTATGTATGTTTATACGACACTTGACCCGGAAGCGACACATCAATGATCCGCGTCGTATTGAGGAAACGCGTTTGGCAAGCATTACAATTTTTTCACAGAGAAGGAAAGAAAAGAGCAAAAGAAGAAAAGAGGCGGTGCCCGATATAATGAAGTGCGCTGTCGGATATATGTATCAAAAATTCTGTATTGTTAATAATTAATAATTCATACAATTAAAATTAAAGATCACACAAATACGGAAAACTTTGTGAGAATAAATCGAATCGGTCGGGTCTCATTACTCTTACTACTCTTTTTTTATGAATGTCGATGACGTTGATGGAGAGAATGATTTATGACTCCTCTGATCGGACATCTCGAAGATATTATTGAACATCGACCGCATACTTGTTTCGCTTGAAGATCGTGACGAAGAAAGAGGAAATTACACACAATGATGCCGATGAAGACGTTTGAAAATTCTAACGATTCCTCATGATTGATGCCAGATATCATTTGCGTTACTGTCGTTGTCGGGGAATTTGACTGATTTAGCGCCGACGTCATTTGCCTAATGGGAAATATATGGAAATTACGAATTACATAAAGGCCTCTATCTTGCGCACCGATGACGAGCTCGAACAGCAGCTCTCTATCGCGCGTTTGGTTACGGGCAAATTGCTGTCGTTGCGGCGACACCCGACAGGATACCGTGAACAATAATCTTAAGGATACCGAAACGCCATTGCGCGAAGAAACGGAGACGCTTCTGCATCGTATCGCCTTTACTGTTTGGCATACCGCCCTCCATATTGAAAGCGAGGTGCGAAAGCACGCGTGCTTCTACACGCGTGCGAAATGTATTAATTTACATCATTTAATTTCGCATAAACATAATCTACGAATTATTTCGGCAGACTCAGAGTTGACTGGCTCTTAATGGAAATCTAATCGTACGTTAATCATGTAAAATATTATTTTATTCAAAAATATTAATTGAAATTATACATATATATAAATTTCTATAGACAGAAAAAATTTTTAAAGCAGTATTTCTTCTATACATTTAAATATAATCTTTTATTTCCCGAATAAGCTTTTACTATTAGCTTCTTTTATGATATTGTTGTTAAAGAATATATATTTCTTTCAAGTTTAAATTCTCGTTTGCTGCATTTCTATAACTGCAATCATATATGCATCGCAGCACACTCATCCAATATAAAATACTTAATAGGTTTCGATAGATTGAATTGATATTGATAATGCAATCGTTTTTGTAGAAATATTGCATACGGCTCACTGTTACGGCACCTGTCATTGTATATTTTTCTTTGAGACAACAATAAAAATATCTTACACTGTATATCAAAACAATGAACTATAATGTCCAACCATTTTTCTTCAGACGTCTATGAAGAGTGTAATAGTATTTTCGCTGCTATAATAAGAACTTATAAAATCAAACTATTATATTCTTTAATCGATATAAAATATATTAAAATTAATACTAATGCAGCATTATTTTACAAAACAATAATTAATTTTTTTATATAACGAGAATAATGATAAAAATATGACATTTCTGTTACTTTAAATCTGAATGTGATTATGTAAAGATGCTGTATTTTATTTATTTTTGTACTTAACATATAGATATATTGATTAACTCTTTTCTTTTTTTGATTACAGCACAATGGTGGTTACGAATCACAACCGAAAAACGTTAACAACATCGGACGAAACAAGCAGCATGTAAGCAAATATATTTATATCTATAACAATTACTCATTTACTGTTCAAATTTCACGCATTTAAATTATAACTTAAAATTATTATATTGTAAATCAATTATAAAAATTAATATTAATATTAGAAATAATTAATCATATAATCATGTATTAATCATATATTGAAAAAATTTTATTGATCAAAATTATACTATTTCTATAAATAGATATACAAATAGAAGCGGAAAACGAATAATTAATCCTAGAGAAATCTTTTTCTCACGAGCTGGACCAAAGGCTCTCTATTCTATTCATATAGCTTATCGGTATCGATGAAAGCTCGCGATTCATCTCGCTAAGCGATCTCTTTAAATATTTAATAATCATATAATCGATGTCACGCACAAGCGATTGATTCTACATCAGGCATACTTTTATTTATTCCGTGAGAAGACACAGACAAACGAAACTTCGTTTGCATTCGGAACGCGCGAATTTTAACACGCACACTCGTTTAAATCTCCTGTCAAATTACATATCGTAGTTTAGGTCGCACGAAATTATTCCCAACGACACGTTGTCGCCGCCCGCCCCATCTCGAATACCTGTTTTCGAAATGCAGAAAGCAGAGGGGACACGTGTATGACCTTTCCAAAACGCTGAACTCTTTCTGAATGAGGGGAAGAGTGTTTTCCACCGGCATTCAAATGGAAATGCCGCCTCTTTATGCTACTTTTTTTTAACACACCGGAAGTTCTAACTCGTTATTCGCACCGCGACATTAAAATAGAATTATCATTATGTGCGACAAAGATTTCCTGTCGATATTTTGTCAGGCTCTTCTGTTTGTTTTCTTTCTCTTTTTCATGCGCGGAATATAAATTTTAATAAATAAACGATGCGAGATTTAATTTCGTTGGCGATTTAATCCGGGAAATTGCATTAAAGCGGTTTAAATTCATGATAATCATAATTGCGATCAGAATGAGACATGCATTGCACAAACCGCCACTTACACGTTGGCGGAATAACTTTCTATTAGCGTGCAACGGAGAGGGAATACTAATATCCGACCAGTAATCAGTACGCTAATTATTCTTGTTCATCGGCTTTCGCAAGCGGTTTCCCTAATTTATGTACTATACGAATCGATCCCGTAAATCAATCTACATGGCAAGTACTAAAATTTCTATCTACTGTTGGTCACACTTTTTAAAGGCCACGAAAGTACAAGTCATAATTTTATCTGATTTGCAACTCGCGTTTCTCGATCAATTCAGTATTCAAAAGAATAATGGAAGTCTTATTAAAATTCTATCGTTTCGACAGCGTTTCCTGCGCAAAAACGATGTTGCCATTGAAAATTATTCACTAAAAGTGGCAGTAAAGTAGCACATTATACGGTCGTACGGTCGCGATGTTTCGCCGCGATAACCCTCGTACGTGTTGACGTCGAATGGATAATATATTCGCGAAACCCCGCACTTATTCGCGCACGAATCATCGTCATTATTGTGAAAATTTATGCAGAAAGAGCTACGACAGTCGCTATATCAGTCGCTATTTTTACGTAGAGAAGATCACGCACTGTTATAGAGACTTTTTATACACAATAAGTAAGTAACATATTGTGAACAGAAGATATATATATATATATATATATATATATATATATATATATTTATTAACACGTTAAATTTGATTTAATTTAATTTAATTTTTTTAAATAATCTTTTTTAAAATTAATATAATAATTTATAACTACAATTTTAATCATATTTAATATAATAATTTATAATTACAATTTTAATATCATATTTAATAATATTAAATAATATTAAAATTAAATGATATATTTAAAATTAAATTTAAAAAGAACAAATAATAATAAAATTATTATTAACATGTAGAGATATTTGAGATTTATATTCAATGGCGTTTTTTGAATGATAACAATTATCAATTAATATTATATATATTTTCTTTTTATGGTGTCTTAATTAATTGCAATTCCATTTCGAAAATCATCATTCGCGATTACATCGCAGTTATGGGCCGTTGAAAGAACAGTAAGGCGCAGTGGGAGCAGAAATAATTATGCGGAATGGCAATTAGTGTACGATAAAAACTGTTGCGCAGCTGTGTGTGTGTGTGCTATCGCGTGCGTTTTTTCTCGTGACATTGAGGATTTTCATTGGTTATTTTTGTTCACATATTGCGTTGCATTTTTATTTATCGTTAAAAACTCATATGCTCGAAAATAGCATGCATCGATAATATTTTTTTAAAATAAGAAATAATGATTAAAATTCGACAGGGACATTCAAATATAATTTAAATTATTATATCTTTATAAAATTGTCCTCTCCTTTAAATAAATTATTAAGTAGACACGATAAAAAGAACGAGAAATAACACGAACAAAATAATCCAGCCATTATCAGACTCCCAACATAGTCGATGAAGATTAATCTTATTCGTTCCAGTACTCTACTTCTAATTAGAAATTAACCACAAGCAATTAAACGGATTAACGGTAATTGACATTAGTGACGCGGCTCATTGCATATATCGACTTCTCGCTCCTTCAATTGCACAAAATTAATGGCATGTGATATAGTCATAACTTCATTCTTGAGCATTTACATTGTATTAATTTATATCAATTTTCGATTTCCCAAATTTTTCCTAAATGATTTTGAGATTAAAATGTAAGATTTTGTGACGAATGAAGAAATGTAGATATCTTTGAATATAATCAGAATGCAAATATAATGTTATTATCTCGTTACGTATCACTTGTATATAAGAGAATTCACTTAATAAAGGAAGATAATTTTATTACAAAGATATAACGATTTAAATTATACCCTGTTGAATTTTAAAACACTGTTTCTTATTTTTATACATTAAAAAATGTAAATATGTTATTATTCCAAAATTTAATAAAGCTTCTGCAAGAGAAGTTTAAGGCGAATATTTCACATTGCGTAGCAAGCCGTTCGTTCTAGTAACCTACTTCGCTAGCATTTTTCAATTTCATAATCGCTGACTCTGAATTTTAAACCAACGTTATTACGACTTGTATCCTCCAGTATTTTCTCGTTTCGCTTTTAGTTAGCCGCGATAGGCAGCCTCGACCTATGCAATTGAACTCTGAGAAACACGTGGACTTGGGGGTACGTTTCCGCGTAGCAACAGCTGCGGTAGGACCACACGATGTAATAGTAATTTCACACGTGAGCCTAACGGCCAGAGGGATTTATGAGCGGGTGGGTAGACCTGACTGTAAGTCTCGCGAGAAACGAACTCGCGGTGTTACGATCCCATAAAAGCAAGTATTTTTAGAGGTGGCCGTCTCGCTCTTATTCTCTCGCCCAATTCGTTCTGCTTTCTTTTTCGTGACGTTCGTTCATTGTTGAACCGTCCTTGGTGTTTCTGTGAGTCCTGAACGCGAATAATCTGGCGTATTCATTCGTCATCTCCCTTCACTTTCTGATCATATTTTTGTTTCGGATCTAAATTCATTACGTTTTATCTTGAAAAAAAAAGAGACATTTTTAGTAATTTAATATTTTTTATCATATTCTCTATTTTAGTATTATATGCAATATAATTTGTGGGACAAGAATATATAAACAGGATTAAAGTACAAGATTACAATGACATATGTGGCTATGCCTACAGGCGTTTTGGCGTTCCACTGCTATAATTAGTTATAATACCATAGTCTAACGTACGAAACACAGAATCTCGGCAAATCGCTTAAAAGGACTGGGCGAAGAACGGTTGAATACAGTCGGGAATTAAATGCGCGTTAGTACAGAAAGGCCAAACTTGTCAGACTTACGGATTACATTACGTTTGTTAAGCGCAGCGAATTATCTGTAATTCTGATAAAATTTCTCGACGGCGCACGAGGGATGAGTGATGAGTGCTTAGGGGCAGATAACACAAGCAACGTAGGGTCGTAATCCGGTATAAATCACACGAATAATTTTAACAAGCGCTATCAATAACGCGGTATCTCAATGACGATAGTGCTCGACTATGGTGAGACTCTATAAATGATTTTCCCGGCTAAAAATAAAGTTCTTCCCGCGAATATTCAGCGACGGGAGAGAAACCGCAGCAACCTGTGCAAAAACGGAACATACATCCTGCTCATACGTGCAATTTTCGCACGTCCTCCGCGACAAATTATTCGCGTCTTTCGCGCAATTCCGTGTATCGTATTAAAATGATCTTAGCAGCGACCACGGCTCGATTGGCAGCGCGAATAGCGTGACTATTCGGTGGGAATCAAAGTCACGCTACCTGCACGAATTCGTTACATCACACGTCCACGCGCGAGCGCGCTCTCATCTACATGCAGGGCCGCTGGAACCACAAATATTTGCATCAAAATGTCATCGAATGATTTAGGATAAATTGCCTTCTTCATTTTGGATAATTTACAGAAGATTGGAAATTAATAATTTTTTTATTCAATCAGGAATTTGTCATTAAGCAATTAAATTAAATTTGTCAGAAGGCAATTAAATTAAAAATCTTTTTCGTAAAATGCAAAATATTTGGAAATTTATATAATTAAAAATAAAACACTTTTCAATCATCATCATAGAAATATTTCTTTTTAAAGACGAGCCTTTTTAAAGGAAATCTTAAAACTGGAGCAATATTACAATACAATGCGAATCAAGAGTTTATTATCGATCATTACTTGTACAGCATATAATTCACAATGAGAAATATATTATACAGTATATCATTTAATCAGAAATCGAAAATTTTGTTAGTGATGCACCTATGATCACGATTCGCGAATAAACATCGCGAAACGACGATGACGATGGTAAACCGGCCCTGGAGCGTGCGAGCTGGCACACGTCAGACATACATGACAGAAGGCGGTGCGATTATCTGACAAAACCGCCGACCGGCTACTAGATATTCTTGCGTATCTCCAGCAGAACCAGGCGAAACACAATACCCGGCAGTGTATCGTTCCACGGCGAGGAACACGGCGCATCATTTCAACATATCTCTCCCGGCGTCCTCATCTCTCTCGCGCGATGGAATAAACTCGCAACGTTCCCGTTAAAGCACCGGGATTACATGTCGGTCTATTCCGCGATAGCGTGTCCTCGATAAGGACATCGACATGTCGCAGAACATCGTCGTCAGGATCGTCTACGCGCCAAAATACTCCAAGGTGGATGCAACTAACTCCCTATCGTGTGAATGCACGTTGACTCTGCTAATTTATCATCGCAAATATTTTTTTAATTATCAAAATTATTCGTGCATTTAGTTCTAAGATTGTGATATATGTGATATAATATAATCAAAGTTGAAGTGTAAATTCAATAATAAACACACATGACATATATAAATTCTTCAAGAATTTTTTTAAATTATATCTCTGAAAAATATTTAAGTTAGTATTTAATTTACAGATTAAACTGATTGCAATATAAACAATTATAATAAAATTTTAAATATCCAATTATGTTATGTCCTTCTTCTTAATATAAACTCTTTTTTACAATATATATTTTAAACTTAAATTATCAGAGACATAATTTTTCTTAGCGTTATCTCTTTTAAATGTTATTACGCGTATTGCAATATTTATCTAAATTGTACATATCAAAGTACTCCACGGTGGATGCAAATTATAGAGAAAACAATAAAGGATGAAGTGAATTCGTAAGCAAAGATTTAAAAGAAATGAGATGTGCTCTCCGCGAGGAAAATTTGATTGTCTGGCGCGACATTGTTTTGTAAAAGAAAACTAAGTTTTGCAGCAGTCAGAGACAAATTTTGCGGAAAAAGTTCCGAATGAAAATGGAACGAAGCTATTCGAAAGGATTTTCTTCTCGAAAACGAATTTAGACGAATTTAAACGAATTTCATATTCGTTATGGAGACAATGTATATTCATAATAAAAATAAATTTTCCGTATATTACATGCTGATAAACAGTGCGAAAAGAAAAATTTAAAAATATAACAATTATTCTATTTTAAAAATATATTTACAATAATACTGCATATTGCATCTCTTTCATCTACATGTACAAAAATATTTTCTGCGACAATAGAGATTAATTATTCTTTAATTATTCCATTATTAACTTTTTCTTAAACTTTTCTATTTAAACTTTCTATAATCGATATCACGCGCCTTTGTAATATTTACGTAAAAAGCTTTGCTTACGTAAAAAGCTTTGCTTGTCAAATCTTGATCAAATTCAAATAAGTCATCGGATTTACAGGTGCAGACGTCAGCGTTGGCGTCAACGCCTGCGAGGACACCGGGCGTCGGCGCGGATTCGACGATGACGGGATCGGGAAAGGGCGGAGGTCGCGTGACGGAGGTAATGGAGCTCTGTTACGTCACCGAGAGGATCATCGCTCTTTGGTATAGGGAGGATGCGCAGGGTGTCCTCGAACATGCCACGACTCTTCTGCGCGGAAAACACGCCGATAATTATATGGTGAGAATTTCAATAATTTTTCTTAACTTATTATTATTCTTTCCTTCGACATGAAACGAGGAAAGTATACCGCATTTTATAATATATTAACATATATTAACATATATTAACATTAATAATAAAAATTATTAATGTAAAATTAATATTATAAAATGTATATAACTTGTTCTCTTCTATTAAAATATAAATAAATTACTTTTAAAATTTTATAAAAAATCGAGATTGGAAAAGATTTTATCTTCACTTACTTGGAATTTTTTCGTGAAATATAAAAAATTTATAATTATTTATTTTATATTTTTTCGTTTTTTAATTTTTTAAAGATTTTAGATATATTTTTGTGTTTGTCTATTTCTAGATCTTTAATTTATCGTCACCTGGTCGATCCGGTGAACCGAATACAAGGGAAGCTGGATGGCCACAGGGATTAGCACCAAGTTTGGAGAGACTGTGCGCCCTTTGCAAGGAACTGGACTCTTGGTTAAACGGCGCTTCTAATCGCGTCGTCGTTCTGCATGCCAGGTGACTTTGCGATTTTCCAGTTTCTCATCCAATTTAACTTTTAATTTCTTTTAATAATTCTCTAAGAAAGATTAAAAGCTAAGTTTTCACAACTTAATTTGCGAGCGACTCTTTAATAGCGCTAAATACTTCTACAAAAGAATATGAAATGAGGCTTTCAACACGCAAAGAAATCGTTTTCAAAGGATACAATAAAAGAATATCTCTATAGAACGTCCAGTGTTCAAACGGTCGATCATAAAAGTCATAATTTTGCCGCGGTGTATACAATCACCGCCCTCTCGAAACTCATAACTTCCCGTTAGTCATTTCCATTCATCATGAATAATAACGTCATTAGAGCGCGATCAGCCCGCGGCGAAATCTTTTCGCGTCTTAGCTCTTACAGAGAGAAGGTACGCAATAGACGTCGTGCGTTCGTAATGTAGTTCCAAGTTAACGTTATCGCGTTCTCTTCAGGGGCAGCAAGGAGCGGCTGGGTGTGGCAGTGTCCGCTTATATGAACTACAGCAGCATCTGCGGGGGACGCGATCAAGCCCTGGACAGGTTCGCCATGAGAAGGTTCCTCGATGACAAGATTGGATCATTGCAGGTTCCGTCGCACCGTAGGTAAGAAGAAGAGAACAAAATCCGTATGAAATGTGTGCGATGTCACCATCTGTTGATGTGCGCACTTGAAGCTCATTCTATCCCAGCTCGCGAATAAAATTTAAATAAAATTCGTAAAATTAGTCTTGGCATGCATATTGCAAAGAGTATAAATTTAGGTAGATTTATTATTTCCTGGTTCTTGTTTTCCAAGCAACGATGTTTGTTCGTTTTGCGTACATAATCGCTCGAGATTTATTTTCATTTCTATTCATATTTTCAATAACAAATAATCAATCATGTCGGAAAATCTTATCTTTTTGACATTTTCTCTCTATATCTTATTTTTTTAAAATATTACTAGTTTAATTTTAAATCAAATAAAACGAACACGATGTGTGTTTAATTAAATTTACTTGCAGAAAAAAGAGCTATTTTAGGATATCAGCGATGTTTATTGGAAGCCATTCGATTTTTTTCGAATTTATATCACAAGAAGAAGAACGTGTAACTGATTCGAGTTTCTTGTTGGGACTATTCGATTAAGAAGGACACTTCACGTTCTTGAGTAGACATTCCTGTCATTTTATTTGTTATACATTTTACGCGCCAACAACCTGAAATGTCTCATTATCTAGTCGTCATCATTATCTTCAATCATCCTTATTCGTTTTATGCCATCCTTCGTGTGTTCCTATACCTCCATTAATCATGTTGATGCCTATCCGATCATTCTTCCATAATGGATTCTGGAATTTTTTCTGTCTTTCTTTCTCTCTCTCTCGTTTTTTAAAAATTTCTCAGAATAATTCAGCGTTCTTTTAAATTTACTCTGTAATCACTTCGTTCACACCATGATTGCAACATTTACTTGCAAGAGAAGATAATCGTGAGACAAGATGATATTAACAAAATAAAATGATTGGTCATATTGCATATTTGATATGTACTTGTTATTCGAGAAGTATTTCTGTCAGCCGGTTCTCCATCGCACGTACTACGAACGATCGATCCAAAGATAACGAACTCTCATCATCATCATCGACAGCCTGATCGTTTACTTCATTATCATGTCGTCGTGTCCATTCGTAATGATTGTAATGAAACACAAGCAAGCTTATATAAAATTGTTTCTTTAAAACTTGTTTACACTTATACATAGCAAGTACATTTTTCTAAAATATAATCAGAATAAGGGACAAAGTTTTTTATATGCATGATTAAAATGCATCAAAATAAATTTATTAAAATATTCTTATTTATATGTATAAAAAGAAGTTATACTTTTAAGTGATGCGAAAAGTTATCGCAATCATTTGAGTAATATTATATTTATATTGTAGGTAAAATAAATAATTATTTTTTAATGTAATTTGTGTAACTGTTTACTAATAATAATAATAATAACTAATAATATTGAGGTGCATTCGAATCATTAAATTATTTTTCTTATGAATAATTAATTTTTGATTCGATTACTTAAATAAAAAACCTCGATCATTCGAATAAACTATGCAGATAAATAATTGCGCTAAATTTTATTCTATTTTTCCAAGAAAAACTAATCGATCCTTTCGATTCTCTATTTTTCGCGCGCGTCTCCGTTTATATTGCGATTTATACTCGCAGATCAAGCAACCGGTTGCTTTTAGCGAAATAAATGCGACTCATCCGGCAGTTTATCGCGCGTATTACGCGCCATCGACCCCAACGTTACCGCGGCCGCCGTATCATTACCGTCATCATCGTCCTTATCGTCATCCTCGTCATCCGCGTCGCCGTACGCATTCATAATGACCGTAATGAGCCGCGACCGAGGTGTGCCCGCGTGCGTGGCGACTTCCTCGGCGCGCTTCTTCCTCTTCTTCTTCTTCTTTTTTCGTCCTATCGTCTCCTCTTCATGGTCCTTACGTCCTTCGATCTCACTTGCGGAGTTCCTCCATTAATTCCGCGAGCCACGAACATTAGCATGTCGTTAGTGTAGCTGCGCACTCGCGAACATATGAAAGCATTACCGGCGAGAGATCTCTTACGATGAACGATGTCGAACGTCAGTTGCTCGTACGCATCTTTTCGTGTCATGGGCCAAGGCTTCCGTTGCTCGAATCATCAATCTCATTCATCATATTTCTCATGCATACGCACATTTGCTTGTTGGAAGAGATTTGCTTTTTTACGTGAATACTTTTTCTTTACAATGTTGATCATATCAGAAAGATCGTTCCATGCTCTTCATCAAGTTCATCGTTTATTATTTATAATATATATTTTTATCCTTGGACGTTACAATTGGAAATTACGAGAACCAGGTTTTAAATTAAAAATTAAATTATTATTTTTATTTTCGAATGTCGGGTGATAGCGAGTCTCTTGGATATTTCAGATACATCGAGTATTTCAGTGGATTGCTATCGGGCTCCCTAAGGATCAGCCAGTCGCCATTGTACTTGACCCACCTAACAGTTCTCGGAGTGCCGCTCTTTGAACCGACAGGCTGTCGAGCCTTCCTCAAAGTATACGAAGGACTAACACCAGTTTACACATCGGATCTGTATTCGGTGACTAACGCCCGTGAATTCACAGTTAATCTAGGCGGACTTCGACTGAGAGGCGACATCTTAGTCAAGTGCTATCACAGGGTATATTCGAAGCAAACTCGAGAGGTCATGTTTTCCCTCCAGGTGAGAATAGATGCACATAATAGATGCGTTATTGAAAATTATTTTGAAATTTTTATTAAAGTTTTATAAATTAGTATTATATTTTTTAAATATTTTGTGTTTATTTCATTCACATAAAATGATATATGTATCAAATAATATCGAGTCATGTATGCCGTTTATGTTGGTCGTGTATAAATACATTACAGTGATGCATTTATGATGAACGCGTTATACTAGTACGCATGTGACACGACATGTAATCAGTGGCGTAAATGGCGATTGTGCAAAGTGCTTCGTAAATAGTTATAAGGATAGCAATCTAGATGTACATGTTCGCGGCAAACGTTTGCGCGGTAATTTTGTGCCCGTCAGGCAAACAACATCCTCTGAAATCGACGTAACATCATGACCAGTTAATAACTAGATATACTTTATTCTCTATGACACGGGAGAAAAAACGAATATATACAATCTCTGTGAAAAGAGCGCATCGATCACGATGTGTAATACATTAAATCTTAGACACAAGATTTATAATAAAAAAAAGATTGCATACTTTAGTTTAACTTGATTGAAATTATAATGCATATACCTGTTTGCCAATAATAACACTCGAATTTGCATACTTGCATGTGATTTATGTATCGTATTTTATTACGATAATTCATATACGTCATATATATTGCGTCAAGAAATTTCGCATTTATTAAAAATATCCAATCAATTTCCGAAATTTTAAGTTTCCATCAAGATTAAATTGCTCAGAGAATCTACAAATGAGAAATAATTTTTGCTTTGCGATGTATATCTGCTATATGCACAACTTTGGATAAAACACCTGGTGAGAGATTAGCACGCGGATATTCTCACATAAGTTTTTATTATTGTTTCCGCAGTTCCACACATGCGTAATTACGGAGAATGTCGTGTCCTTCCCGCGATCGGAGCTCGACATCGCCTGTGAGGATCCCCGATGCCCGCCCGACAGTGTGGTAACACTCTACTTCGCCACCGATATGAAACGCCAGGATGGACCAGTGCCGGCACCGACGCCAGCTGTGCCGCATGCATCGGCGCATCACGATCCCATCTTGCACTGGGACAGCTATACGAATCTCGAGATCAGCGACGACGGTAAGTCGCAAATCTTTATTCGTTTTCTTTTCGAGTGCGATAACAAAAAATTCATACCTTTATTTAAAAGTCATATACATAATATTTTATTTTTTTAAAGATTAATTAAAATTAGACATTAAATAGAGTTTATTTTAAATTATTAATATTTAAACAACTGTCTCACACAAACTAATAAACAACATTTGTGAAATATCTAAATTTGGCAGAGGAGGACAACGTGACAAGTTGCTTGAAACAACGTTACGTGTCAATTATCATATTTTATTTCTGAACCGCTTATATTATTAATATTTAAACAATTGTCTCACACAAACTAATAAACGACATTTGTGAAATATCTAAGTTTGACAGAGGAGGACAACGTGACAAGTTGCTCGAACTTAAAACAACGTTACGTGTCATATTTTATTTCTGAACCGCTTATATAAATAAAATATATAACAGACATGCATGTAAACGATACGACATTAAAACAAGAAATAATTTTATTTGATGAGAAACGATATATTCCGGTGGTGAAAATTCTCTTTTTTACACTATGATTCTAGCAAGTGGATGCTAATCTGTCTCTTGTGCTGTAAATTGAGTGATACGAGCTCGTCGATTAATTTATCGATATCATGAAACCCACGATCTGCGGTTCACTCCACGAGAACTCATCGTTGTCGACTAATTCGTACTAATTTTCGTCGTAATGGTACCCAATTAACCTCGATCTGACAGCGAGAGCAAGTCAGAAATACAACTTGGCTAGTGTTCACGGCGTGGAAGGGAGAGAGGGAGCTAGACGAAAGAGCGGCGGTTAGTATAGTGCATTTAGAATGGCTGACTAACGCCGCCGGAAATACATTCTGCCAAGTGAAGGGAAAATGTCGGTTTATCGCGAAGGGGGCGATTTCCACGGTTGGAAATAGATCAAAGGTCGGCCCGATGGACAAGGTCCATCGCGTTAAACACCGTTTCCGAGTATAGCATTTCTACTCTGTCGCTACCTATTTACATCTTCACTTTTCTCCGCTGCGCTAGCGTAACTTTTTCATGACATGAGCAAAGTGCCTGTCACAATGTATATTCGTGGTACTAAATCTATTTTCTACGTTTGTTGAAAATATTATGCAAAAGTTACAAAATAAATAACGATCCAAGTTACACAACGATGAGAAAGAAAAATATCCATCCATTTGATAAAAATGATAAATTTTTAATTTTAATCCTTTAAATTTAATTAAGCTCACGAAATGATCACAATAAGCATTTTTTACACGTTCCTTTATAAATTAATTTTTCTGTAAATTAATTCAATATACTGCTAACACAAACGTGTTATTCAAATTAATTCCATTCAAAAGGATTCAAGAGGATTTACACTCGTTACACGGCTTTAGCCACGCTTAGTAAAGAACATCCAATGTAGCGATTTGTTCTGCTCGGTATAGTGCTTTAATCAAAACGATTGCGTCATCGCCGTGAATCCCCCAAAAGCACGCATCGGCAACGTCGGACGGCGAACGCTCTCGGAGTCAATTCGTTTCGTTAGCGATCGGCTAGTGGGTTCCAATAAAGCTGTGTGACCCAAATTGCGGGCGATGCTAAATCGACGCCGTTTGTTACGGGACGAAGAGCGATGGCAAACGAGACCGGAAAGAAAGATGGAGGGTGGCCCTGAGCGGCGCAGCCAAAGGGAGACGAATCAGTATTTGGGTTGGGCCGCGATTGAACGCCGTGTAGGTTAATCGCAATACCGGCGGTGACCCGTCTACCGGATATCCACCCCCGTTTACCGGACCGAAGGGTGTGACCAGACTGGAATCAATTCCACCTCTCGATAACCGAACAACCCCGAACGAAAAAGATCGCGTATCCTGTCGTTATCAGGACGCGATCGATTATAGAAATCCTTCCGCATAACTCGGCGCCTGGACTTCTACATCACGCTAGTTTCTGCCAGAGACTTTTATGTCCAAATAATCGCGAAATATTTTTAGAAATTCATTTATTTTAAAGATTAACCCCTTAAATGGGTTAAACAAGTTTCAATTATTTTATTAAATTCTCAGATTATATTTTTTTTACTTCTAGATCAATAGACAATCGTGTGAGTTTGTAAAGGAATTTCGATCACACAAGCGATTTAAAATAACAACACGCAATTTCCCGAGCTGTCGCCCTTAATTGCGCTCGTGTTGGGACTCAGACGTTTTAAATCATACTTAAATCATTCCAATTCCACTCGCGTTGTCGAGTATCGGAACGATCTGTCGCCGACGGCCGCGCCCGCATCAATTGACGTTCAAGCCTTCGATTTGCGCCGTTACTTTGTTAACAATTTAATGCGAGTCTGGGCACGCAATTTTCCTCGTAGCTCGGTGACAGCAAAGAGTTCTAGAAAATACATTTTCCTCTGTCGCGAGACAATATTTATCCACACGAAGAGCCTCTACCCGCCGGCGGATCCGCGAGTGTAACGAACTTCCATCGTGACGGAACGTCGCGATGCCCACACGCTGCACCCACGCGACACAAAATACGTTTCCTAGAGTATCGTGGTCGCTGAACGATCCGCTTTAACTATCTGCTGAGTTATGTGAGCCGGCGCGAAAAGGGCTTTCCTGATCTTTATCTTTGATCGGTGACGCGCGACGCGAAGCGGAAGTGTAATGAATCTTCCGTGTTTCCGGGTTAATGTTATATGAAACATCTATGTATTTAGTTCTCTTAAAATAGTCTATTTAAGGAACTGCAAGAGAACAAAATTTAAAATTTATTTTGATTGAAATATAAATTTTAAAAAAAATTTTCGATGCACCGAGAAAAGATTTTTTTGGTCTGTGAAATGAACACAGGTTTTTAATCTTTAAATCACAAAATGAAAAGGAGAAAGAAAAAATCTGTTGTATATATAATAAATATAAATATATAAATATCGAAATTAATATATTTATCATATATAAAATATATCGATAAACGAAAAATATATCGGTTAACAGAAATTAATATATTTATCATATATTTCATATATAATAAATATATTGATTTCTGTTAATCGGTATATTTTAAAATTCTTTTACATTATTTCTTCTACTTAATTTCTCTTTTTAATTATTGTATTTATATTTATGTATGCATAAATATAAATATAATAATTAAAAAGAAATAATATGTAAAAGAATATAAAAATATATCGATTAACAGAAATGAATATATTTATCATAATAAGTAATGTATTATTGCGCACGAATCAGAATGTAACAAAAGTCGTGGAAGCTGCATCGTGGAAAGAGATGGAAAAAGCCGTACAATATACATAAATGATTTTCATGGTGTGGTGGGGAGTCTTCGGGTTTATTCTTGGCATCAGGACGCCATGGATGGGGATACAGCTTAACAGTTTTCGCGCGCTTCTACGTAACAGTCTCAGTTCATTTCGTGATTCTCCCATGATCAATAGTGCGTGTATAGTTCTCTAGTAGAAATTAGTATTCCTGTCATTTCGGTATCGAACACGAGATAAATACGAAATTTTATCGAGAGTGCTGATTGTGCGCAATTACACTATTGTGCTAATTAGAATCGTAATAGGAAAGTGATCGATGTTCCACAAGTAAGTTGATTTTATTTTTGATTTGTTATAATAGCAACTTTTAAATTATTATGCATAAATTTGATTAACTAATTTTGAAATAATTATATAAAGCAATTTTATAAATATTGAATTTCAAGCATTCTTACAAATTAAAAATAATGTTTTTTCAATTTGATATTCTAATCTAAAATTTGTAGAAAAAGAAGTTAGAAATTATTTATAAATAAATTACATTCTAATTATTAACATTACTGTTTAAGTATGTGCTACGTGATACAAAAAACCAATTCTCTCGAAATATTTCTTTTTATCGCTTTCTATCATGATTTTGCAACAAACATCCGTCCAATGTTTCACAATTGGAGATTGACCTTAATTTTACCACCTACCGTTAAGGCAATGCTTCATGTAGGATAGAGACTTTTGATCCAAAATTGGCGAACCGGCTTGACCGGGCTACTCTCGCTTCGAGAATCGGACTGACAACGAGAAAGTTGGTTCCTGGAAAGTGTAGATCAAGTTTGACATTTAAGAAAACATCCCATAGTTGGTTACGATTTTAGATGTATGATTTGTCGCAGAATTTCTCTATCAAGCGTTTTGTGAAAAAAGGAAAAATCAACGCCGATGTTGCGATTGTATTTCTTTATATTCTTCTCAATATAACACTTTTATCTCTAATTCCTGATTATTTATTCAAAGAAGAACTTTACAAAAGTTAAAACTTTTTAGCATGCTTTTTACAAAGGCAATATTAGAATGATTTATGTATAATTGCAAAATTTTATAAAAATTTACTGGAGAACCGTAATGGACCATGTAATAAAACACCGAAATATACGACAGGAGTGCTAAGTAGTAACGGACATTAGTAAACAGACAGCCCGGTCTTCGTACGCATTAATCACTTGACTGCTTTTAACTTTTATCATCGTTATATTATCGATTTTTTTCTGTCAAATATATTTTATATATCAAAAAATAAAGCGAATAATGAATCGAAGTTTCAAAAATTTCGTTCACTGGCTCGGATCTTTTGTTTGCTGTCGAAGAAATTGTAGTACGATAAAACAAGAAGAGAAAACGTTCGTTCAATAAGAATGAGAGAGAGGTGTAGGAGTGAGGACAGAGAACAGAGACAAGAACCCATTGTCTTGTCGTTCGGTCATACGTCTTCCCACTGTTACGTCACCATTGTTTACCCCCAACCTCAGTGCAGGGCCGCCTCCAGCGTTTTATTTTGCCACTTCGATGCCCATTGTGCGGTCTTTTTGCCTCTTATGGGCGGACATAACTAAGAGAAATCATTTTTTGCCCTAGCCAGATGTTAATACCGAAATTTCCGGTATCGTAATCGTCCGTATCTTGAGAAGCCCTTTTTCCAGATTTGAGATATACACATGTTATGACATGA